AATATGTTTCAGTTTTGAGTTTCAATGCATGCGTATTTTGATCTGAATCTTACTGTTGTGACTATATGTTGTTAGTTATAGAATTTCTTCATACCTTGCTTTGGATACTACTACAACTCTATGGAAACCTCCATTTACTTTGAATGAATCATTTAGTACTGAGTCTTGTGTCTGATTGACTGTTCTTTGTGTACTAGCCGCAACTATATGGAACACTGCTTTGAGGTTTACTCTAAACATGTTTTCCTTGCTATCCTGATCCCTAGCATCACTTGGGATTTTAAGATAAACATTCCATTTTGCCTCAACTATGATCTTGCTTCCATGTTAATATGTTTTCTAGTCTGTTTTTATTCATTTGATATCTTGCCTCTTCCAGTGTTTATCACAATGTCTAAATACTGATTAGTATGACCCTAAGATGCATGCTTAGCTTAATCCAAACCTTTTTGGTCTCGATTGGTTGAATGATAATCTATGTATATCTTGCAAACCTATTGCTTCCCAAATTTTTTTCAATATGAGACTATCTATGTGGTGCTTTGTTGTCTTGCTGAACCTATTGGCCTGCTTAGTTGCTCTGTATGCTTAACTTGGTGTAGTACTTATAAATTTCTGCCCCTCTATCACTATCCACTCTCCTTATTTGCTACTCATGCTATTCTGAATTCTCATTCTTAGCCGGTTGAAAGCCAAGTCTATATAGGTTCTATTGTCGACCTCCCTAGTGTGAGCACTGCTTGGGGTCCAATTGAGGACCTTGTGAACTCTGACACACTAGGGCTTGGTCCTAGTCATTCTCTCAACCTCCAAAACTATCCCTAATACTCTATTTCCCTGTCATGTACTGTATATCTATATTGGTTGTTCCAAGTGGTGCAACACTTAGTGTTATGGCTCATTGAAAGGGGTCTGAACTCCCCTACGGACCTGTGATCGTGTGGTTCTTTGTTGAAGGCCTAAGTATGCTATGCCAGAAGTTTTGAAAGCCCAGTAAGGCTGGGCATTTAGTTATTCTATTTGGGCCTGCTATAGGCCTGTCTATTTTCATGTAATATTACTACATTATTATTAATTTGGGTCTATAATAATAATATTTGTATAAACGATTGGGGTGTTACTGAAAGGGAATGGGGTAGATTCTAATACTAACATGCAAAATGGGTAGATAACATGCCTATAGGACTTGGTAATATGTTTGCTATATGTGTTGTTCGATTACATGAGCACTGTAGAGATCATGACATTAGGGGGAGCACACACACACATTACTTGTTTACTATTAGACATGAGTTCAAATGCTATGTCTACTGCTACGTGTTTATAGACAGCATGCCTATAGGAAGTGAGCACTCTTTCAATTTGCATGACTTCCTTCAACCGCATTAGAAACCTGCCTATAGGAACAAATGAATTTTCCTACAATTCACTTCAGTTATTCACTAGAAATCATGCCTATAGGATTTTGACCACTTCATTTGCTATTGTACCACATTCATCATTAGAAATCTTGTTTATAGGACTAAGTATAAATAAAATAAGCTTTGAAGTACTATGCATTAGAGATCCTGCCGATAGGAAATAACTGCTCGTTATAATTGGTTAATGCTAGACCATTCAAACACTGCTTCATGCACGTTGTACGAATAATTTTGGGACTCTTTCCCTAGCAGAATCTTTTATACCCAATAGCATAGATCACTTAGGCATCGCACATATAGGATTGGTAACTTAAAACTCTCAACAATTAACTTATGATACCCACATGATTCTGTCTATAAGCTATATCCTGCATCCGAAATTACTTGCATACTTTGATCGCCTAGAAAGCATGTCTATAGGATTCTGCAGATTCCTGATTGGCATATGTGTTTGCGTACATTTACTGCTTAAATGCAGAGGCAAATTTGAGCCCCCTTTATTGCCATATTTGAAGTCCAAAATATTTTGTATGTCGCCTAGTTTTATCATTTTGAGCAGCCTAAGTTTAAGTGTAGAACCACCCTAAATAGAGGTCAAATTCCCTCCTAAACCATAGGTATGGTACGGGTAGTGCACGCATAAGGTACGACTTATAATTGAATTAGTGCGCTTTAGGTAACAACTTTAACATAGTAATCGGGTAGCAGGAGATGATAGTTTGTGCCCGCTGAATAATATGAGTAACACCCCATCTTGAGGGAGTTACGAAGTATTATTTATGTTACACGGGGTGATCCTTTAGGCTAAAAAACTTAGGACCCCCCCCCCTCCTCTTTATATGTTATTAGATCTAAATTAGTGTATCCCTATAATCGCACTAAGATTTGATGTTGTAATAAAGTTCTTTGACTTCTTAATTTCCTTTGTTTATTTGATCACCTATCTTAATCTTAATCCACATAATCTTAAGTTTGGCCGGGTCCTATAGTTGTAGACCTCGAGTAGTGCCTAACACCTTCTCTTTGAGGTAACTTGAGCCCTTACCCGATCTTTGGTGACGCGAACTAGTTAAAACAGAGTTATCTGCATAATAGGTGCCCTAACGCACCTTAAAAATTGTTAGGTGGCGACTCTCCTCTTTTAATTACCTTCCTTTAAAAGAGTTGTCACATGTCGAAGCCCGCTATCTCGCGGGGAAAACGGGGCGCGATAGTGTTGACGTTCATAGCTTCTTTGTTTTTAGATTTGGGTACAAACTTTCTCCATTTCCTGACTTCTTGCTTGTCGTTCCCTTTGCGAGGCTCATAGATGGGCAACCTTTCATTTCCAGCGGAGGCCATTCTGAACTCCATGTCATGGGCACGCGTCGCAAGTTTTTCAAATGTGATTGGCTTGATACCTTGCAAGATATAGCGTAGTCCCCAATGCATGCCTTGGATGCACATCTCTATGCCCGAAGTTTCACTAAGCTTGTCTTTGCAATTGAGGCTTGCATTCCTCCAACGATTGATAAAGTCGATAACTTGTTCACCCTTTCATTGACGAGTATTTGTATATATCATACTCACAGTACATCCCGTTCTATAAAAGCGATTGAGGAATTCTTGCTCTAGTTGATCCCAGCTATTAGCAGATTCAGCCTCGAGGTTTGTGTACCAATCAAAAGCATTTTCTTTTAATGAGCGGACAAACTTCTTGATGAGGTAATCCCCATAAGACCCAGCATTGTTGCATGTCTCAACGAAGTGCTCCACATGTTGCTTTGGATTGCCTTTGCCATCAAACTGTTGAAATTTTGGAGGTTGATAGCCAGCAGGCATCTTCAACATATCGATCCTTGAAGTGTACGGCTTTGCGTAGGTAAAGGAAGGCTTAGAAGCAACTTCATATTTGTTTTTTATAGTCCCTTCAATGAACTCCTTTAGTTTATTGATTGGAATCATCCCTTCCGTTGAGACTAGAATTTTCTTAGTAGATGCAACTTGTCGTGGGGGAAGATCAATCTCTTGAACTTCTGGGAGTTTGCCAGGTGCATGGGTGGATTCTTTTTCCATCAAGATTCCCACCCTGTCTGTTAGCTTGTCAATTCTAGCATCTTGATTTTGCATGCGCTGGGTCAAGCCAGCGATTACTTCCGTTAAGTTTTCCAACTGCTCTTCTACAGATGAAGTGTTTGTCACTATGGCTTGCATGATTGTTGTAGATGATGGGGAATAGCATGGATTGTCACACAAATTGATTCTCGAATGGCTCACGTTATGCCGTGTAAGTGGGGAAGACCCATCACTTCACATATCATCATCTTCCTTCACAACAGAGTTCTTCGATCTGGAGAGGTCAAGAAGAGCTAGAGTTATCTTGATCTTTTCAACAATATCGCTTCCTCATTTGGGTACGTTCGTAGAGGATCTTGCTCCTTTTGAGGATGAAGATCTGAAAACAGGGGTTGATGCAGATGACACTTGAGTGCTTGTTGTCCTAAACAGCTTGCTTTTCTCCTCGTAACTGGTCCAAAGCTTCCAAAGGTAACATCGAGGATGCTTTCCACATTAGCATAAAACTTGGAGTTAGCAGCCTTGGTGGATGTTGATCTTGAGTTTATTTTCTTTGAAGCCATTTCGACGTTCTTGAACTTTGGTGATTGAAAAGTTGAGATGAGAGGTAGAGATTATCCCACTGGGCGTGCCAGAATTTGTAGACAATAAATTTGCGCCGATAAAATAAAATCAAGACTGAAAATATTGCAACAATCGCAGTATTTGATTTCAAATAATATGAGTGTACAATCTCTATGAATTCTCTCATTCTTCTTTCCAATAGTAAATAAATCCAAGGGTCTTTGAGCTTGATCTTAAATATGTAGTTGTTGCCACGAACGATGATCTTGAATTCAACTAGTACGAACTTTGATTTGAACTCGTACTCCTTGAATCTTGATTTATTTTTCGTTATTGAGCTTGAACTTAATTTCTTGAACTTGAACATGATTGCTTGAAGCTTGAAACTTGTAGAGAAATTTGCGGCGTTTGATCCACGAGCTCTCTCTTGCTTCTTGTTATAACATCTGGTGTCTTTTCTGGGTTATGAAGACCCCTATTTATAGTTGTAGGAGGAAAAAGTTATGATAAGAACAAACTCTTTCCGACCAATCAAATCGAAGCGTGACAAGGCCGCATTTGATTGGTCATAACATGTCACTTGCACACGTGGCGCGATTTCATTAGCCTTTTAATGTGACTTGACATGCCTTGTCATTTTGACATGTGGCACGATCCTATTGGCTCTTCCGCTTGACTTGGCGTGCTACGTCATTTGACACGTGGCACCAAACTGGGCCTCTAGGAAGATGTCATCTTGGGCTTAGCCCATCTAAATGGGCTAGCCCAATGGATTAAGACTTATTTATTTAATCCATATATATTTGGACTTATATAATTAATCTAATTATATTAGTTCATAATACTTAGTTGGACTAACATATCTAATATATAGTCCAAATTATTTTATTGAATTTAAATCCAATAAATTTTGTATGCATACACCTGCTCTTTGCCAAAATGCACCAAATACTAGGAGTCTTTAAATGTAAACAATACTGCTTTCTGCTCATTTCTAATATTAGAGTCCAACATTACCAAGTATACATAATTCCCCTAATGCTGTTGTTGCTCTAGGGTAGCTGGCAAATGAAGTAACAAATTATACTCTGAAGCACATCTTCATCAATATGTTCATCAAACTACAAGTTAGTACCTGGAACACTCTACAAATAAAATGCTTCTCTCACTAGATTATGGATCAAACATTACTGATGCCAATATTAGTACAAACTGCAGCAAATATTAACGATCAAAGAGATAACAGATCCCATCCTGAGGTCACCCATCTCATGCCAATGCTTCTCCACCTCCTCTCCTACTATTTACAGTCCCGATAAGTCTGCTCTTCTTCACTGGCTTACTCAGTTGAAATACAGGATGCCTGTATAGCTTTTGCATTCCCTTCCTTAAATTAAGTCTAATCATTGTGTTCTCACCCTCCTCAGTGTCAAATCCCTCTCTAAACCTACTCTCTAGTGTTTGTCTTCTGCGAGCAACTGGAGAGGTCCTCACAACAGAATCACATTCCTCTCCAGCATCACTTGTACTCTTACAGTTCCAGAATTGCTCCCCCGACTCACATTCTGTTCTGTCTAACGTGGCACTTCTTGAGAGTTTACCAGCATTTTGTTTTTCACAAGAATAGCCATCCACATAATCTACCATGCAACTGGAAATATTAGCACATGACGACTGTATTTGGCATGTCACATGTGATTCTTCTCTTTCACGAAGGGTCTTCATAATGAGTGTCTTAAGGAGGTTCATGACTTGGACTGCATGAATCAGTGCAGTCAATGGATCAGCCATCTGCAAGATTTACTATCCCATTATTAGTATATGAAACACAATTTACCGAAGGACAACCATATCATTCCCAATTTAGACATTTGGGTAAAACTAACCCTCTGATCTCAGTTCCCATCAAACATGCATTTGCGAAGGAAAACATAATAAGTAAAAGCTACACTATTGAAAAGTTCTCAAGTACCTGAGTCATGTTTGGAGCAAAAACCATGGCAATATTCCTTGCATTCATCTTGTTATAATGTTCATTATGCACAACGTCTGCCATTAAATTGATTGCCCAGTCAAGCAGTGCAGCTTCAGTTGGAGGAAGTAAGTTCACAAGTTGGGTGCAGTCTTCTTCAGTGTTGCAGTGCATCACCTGCTCCGGGGTTAGAGAATCTAGTACACCTGTAGGCAGCTCCCTAAACCATGCCTGGAGACATATGGAAAGTGTTTGCTCATCAATTTTCTAAGAGTGATAAAGACTATTTCTGGGCCAAGTAGATTGTCATTGAATTAGGGTTTACATTGTCATTTAAGGGGTCTATCTGAAAACAAAATTTAAGTAGCCACAAAACACTATTTCGGTGTACTTTTCCAGCCCCTGAGATAATTATATTATACGAGGGCTACTTTTCTCAAGAAATAAAGGCAGTTCAGATCTAGCTTAGTGGTATTATAACCAAAAGATTAACACAATAACCACGAATGGATTTACCAACCAGAGCACAGAATGACAAGCCATATATGATACTAAGAAACCTGTGTAAGACAGAAGTTTAATAAGCTTTTCATCAAGGAACAGTCTTGACGAGCATAAATTTATATAGGATCTTGACACAGTAGCAATAAGTAGTGCATTTACCTCATGTACAGAAAGAGTTCATTGGAAAAGAGAAACTAAGACCTACGATATGCTCCTCTGGACAATAATCCTATAGAAAGCACCTAGAACACTCATCTTTGTTTTCCTTTGTGTTCAAGATGTATCTTTTTTAATTGACCAATGTCATGATTTGTTCACTTCCAAAAATTCCCCGGAATACATGAGTATGTTGTTATTGTTGTTCACTTCCAAAAATTGCACAAGAATGATGTAGTAAACAAAAGGGTAAATGCATGTAAGTTTTATAACATCTTTTTGATTTCTCATTCTTGCCCAGACCCAGTAACTTTTATGCCAAATCTTTGATCTGCCTATTGTTTTCCTTAATCTATCTTGTAATGGACTCCAAAGGTCAAACTTGTTTTTTTCCATACACTATTTAGCATATTAACATATATGCGAGAATAGACTGGGAAAGTACTTAAACAGGCTAAGCATAGCAAAGGTGGAGATTTAAATTTGCCTTTTAGTTTACTTCAGAGCTTCAGGATCTTGCTAGCATCTATGCTAGTTGTTAGTTTCAACTTAAAGAATGCAGCAACAAATAAAGATGGATGAAGGATGCATATGTTAAAGCTTACCTTAATCAATCCGGCCAAACAATGAACATCAATTCCATATGGAACAATGCCTCTATTCAGCTGGCTCCTCACAGTTTCTTCTTGACTATTCTCAGCATTTATCCGGAATATTCCTTCTGCCTTCAACCAAAATGCCGAAAAGAATGCAAGTTTCAGCACATCTAATTTTAATACGACATTTTAGATTATTCAAGTACAAAGAAAGAGGAATACTTGCAGGCCTCCTTCAGTATACAGATGACTTTGCAGTTTAAGAAGAATTGTTGGCACACTGTTTCCTCTAAGGTCATATGAACATTGCATTGACTGGACAGAAACCCCAAATACACTTACACTGCAAGTACAATTAAAATGTGAGAACTACAAGCTTTCAGCATAAGGAATCTGCACAAGAAATGAGCAAGACCAAAAGCTCCGGCAATAGTCAGGTGAACATGTGCAACCACTAGTAGAGACAGAAAAAAATAATCTGAATAGCAAATTTTAATGTGCAGCCTTGATGACAGTAGAACAAAATATATCTATAATATCATGAAACTCTGTCCTTATGATGAAAGGGAGCGCAACGATAAAAGTTGCCGCCGTGTGACCATGAGGTCACGGGTTCAAGCCGCAGAAACATCCTCTTGTAGAAATGCAAGGTAACGCTATGTACATAAGAATCAATGTGATCCGGCCCTTCTCTGAACCCGGCCCGCGCATAGTGGGAGCTAGTGCACCCGGCTGCCCTTTTTAATTGTTTTCTTTACGATGGAAAGTATCAATTGAGCAATTCTCTCTACTGAGGTACTAATAGATAAGAAGGAATACTACACGCAGCTGGTTATTTATGTATATCAACTTTAACAGCAAGATAAAGCATGTAAGACAGATTCAGCAAAGTTATTGTGGCCCTGCATTAGATCTAGTATATCAATCACTCAATCAAATATACTCAGTCTTAAACTGATTCGGATCAACTATATGGAATGCGTAATACAGATTCCACTCTGTTCGGTCCTATTTCATTTAAAAACTGATAAAATGATTTTCCCTCAGGTTCTACTTCCATATCGTTTACTCACACTCAATTTGTTGTTCATCGGCTGTAAGTTAGATAAATTAATGAAAATGTAGTTTCCAGATCTAGGTAAACCCTGTACCACTACCCCATCTTACCGCAAGATAAACTCACCTCCTTGGTCATTAAAATTAAATGGAAAATAAATTATAATACTAGGAATGGAATGAGGCATATTGGGATAAGAAATAGAAGAGGGAAATTTAAGGGGGGAACCTTGCGCTGGGGACTTTACGGGGGACTTCAGGCTGGAGCTCAATAGGGAGGCCAAGGAAGCCATCGAAGCGATCGAAGGTGACATGAGAAACGTGGCAGACATCGGTGGGCCATCCAATGTCCATGTTAGCCACGTCATCTCTATCCACACTGCAAGTCACCAGCGACTTCCGGAGCGCCGCCACAACTACCGCCAGAATTGGAGAGGGGTTGTTATGATTGCTCTGACGTCCACCAGCAGCCCGAACCCGACTCCGTTGCCTCTGTTCCGGACTTAAAAACCCATCTTCCCCTTCTTCCTCATCACCTACTTCTTCGTAGTCATAGAGAGAGGAGCAGCGAGGGGACAAGTCTAGAACAGAGGAGTTGGAAGCAGAGACACGGCCAAATGTATACGACTTGGATCGCAACAGACGAGTCATTGAGAATTAACTAATTCCAAGCAGCAGAATAGTATAAGAACTGAATTTAATTTGCTCAATTATATGAACAAAGGAACGAAGATGGGGGAGAGGTTACGAAAAAGTGTAAATAGGATAATATACATGCATTATTAATACGAAGAATTAGTAATGATGGAACTGACAAGGGGTAAGAGGGGTTGCTTTGCTTGTGAAGGAGATGAAGGATAGAGGGGACAATTATTATGGACATGAGAGTGAGTGAATAGGAATAGTTGGAATGAGAGCGATAGATGGATTGGGTATAGGGGTAAGGGAAGGGGGGACACCAACGCATTATTATATTGCTCTGTCTTTTTGGATTTTTGTATCATCAGCTCGTGACCTACCTGGAAATGGCAGGGACATATATACAAACTCCTTTTGTGTTTGAGTTTGACCGGCCGGTGACTGTGAGGGGGCCACCGTGTGAAAGCTGCCGGAGAAGGTAGACGCCACCACTGGTACATATTTTTTCTTTTTTCTGCAGTAGTTATATTTTCATTATCTTTGGAATTTACAATATTAGATTCATGTAATTTTGACCCAATTCTTTCAAAATTAGAGAATAGTAAATAAATAGTACTACTACTCACCGGGATTGAATAAATAATAGTAATAGTTGTTATAAATATATTATATTATTAATCTTCATTTAGTACTCCGTTGTAAATAAACTTCCTGAAGAAACTTATCCATATGAGACTCCGCCGTAAATATGTTTATCTATTTAGTACTCTATTGGAAATAAGCCTCGTGAAGAAACTTATCTTTTCGGTACTCCGTTATGGATAAATATTACCTATGGTAGAAAATTATCTATATCTGGCACAACAGCTTAGAGTAGCAGCTTGCAGTAGCAGCTTACACAACAGCTTCCTTTCTTATATAAATAGAGGAGAATTCAGTTCATTATGTACAGAAGTTTGAAGTTTGAATAATATATCAATTTCTCTCTATATTTATATTTATTTTACTGTCTTTATTTTATAACAATAATAATACTATTCGATGTTCTTCTTTTCTCCCCTTATTTCCCTTTATTTCCTCACTCAGCTAAAAGCATTAATTAACATGTTTCACCAGAAAAAGGGGTTAAAGCATACGAAAAATATATTTGGCCATACTAAGAATGGCCCAAATGTCCAAAATGGGGATATTATGATAATTTCGCATGGCCTTTGAGGGCATAACGGATATTTGTGCATATTCGATTTCCATATATACCCTTTTGCAAATTATTTTTTTAATTTAATTTTTTTCAAACAATTCTCTCTCACTAGTTTAATTGTCTTACCTTCCCAAGATGCATGCTACATCATTTTCCATAAAGCACACATACATATACTATACTAATTAAACACTAAAATATACATATACTATACCAATTAAACGAAATACACTAAAATATACACATAATATACTAGATAAAATACATATAAAAATTAATTAAACTACTGGTATTTATCTTGCATTGGTCACTTTCTAACCCTAAACACTTAATATATAGTGCTTCACCTAAGAAGCTTTTCCAGCCCCCATTTTTCTATCTTTGTTTTCTCCTTCTTCATCTCTTATCTTTCTTAGGGTTAGATTAAGGAATGGGGAACGGGAAGAGGAACAAAGTTTCGAAAGTCTATGTTGTATTTCATGGTAAGAGGCCTAGATTATACAACTCTTGGCATCAGTGTGCTCCTATGGTTACTGGTATCAAGGGTAGCTTCTTCAAGGCCTTCAAATCGTATGATGAAGCCATAGCAGCGTTCAATGAGTTTAGAAATGGATCTCAAGCTGATAATATATCGGCATCGAAGGTGTATGTGGTATTTCGTGGTAAAAGGCCCGAATTATACAACTCTTGGTGTGAGTGTGCTCCTATGGTTATAGGTTTCAAAGGAAGCATCTTCAAGTCTTACAAATCTTATGATGAAGCCATAGCAGCATTCAATGAATTCCAAGAAGAAAATGTTGACAGTGAAGAACCATCTTCAAGTTCGTTTGTAGATGAAAGTGGTGTAGGGTTGAAGATGATAATGGAGCAAGTGTTATATCATCTGTGTTGTTAGCTAGAATGTTTGTAGGAGTGAAGATATCAGAAAATTGTTCAGTTTGATTATTAATAAGAGTATTTTTCCCCTTATGAAATGTTTTGTCTATATTGTTGGATCTTAATTGAAAAGTTTAGTTCTAAGTGTCGAAGTGTTATCATCTACTGACTAGATGTTAAGTAGTTATAAGCGTTAGATTTATTTTGCACCTGTTTTAATCCTTACTACATTGTTTCATGATATTCATCAGATTTTGGACATTGTCTGGAATGTTAGATGAACTTTTCACATTTGTTTGATTCTTGAAAATTGTAGTAATGTCAGGTTTTGGACACTATTTGTTTCATCTCTAAAAAAACTACTTTTTTTTGACAAGAACTTGGGAAGTTTGCTTCATATGTTTTGTCTATATTCATAAATTTCTTGACAATATATTTTCCTACTGTCCAAGGTTGGTGTAAAAATAAAAAAGATTCAAACGATCCTTGGTTGGTGTAAAAACCTATTGTCCAAGGTTGATTCAAACAATCCCTAATTCCTACTGTCCAAGGTTGGTATAAAAAACTTTTTCCTTTAAAAGATTCAACTATCTTCAAGTTCAATGTACTATATTAATTTGGCAGAAAATTGATCACCTTTAAGGGACTTGATTAATCTTTATAAATGTTACTCTTAGTACTTTGATTACATTAGGCATCAAACGAACAGTTGCAATGTTGAAGACAATAGGACTGTTTTGTTAACTTGAATCAAACGATCATAAAACAAAAAGATTCAAAGTAATAATAATAATAATAATAATAATAATAATAATAATAATAGTTTCATTAATATGAACCTTCATAACATCACCAAAACATAATAAGATCAATAAAAACATCATCATAAGGGGTAGACAACTTCATAGACTAAAAAACATCACCATAAGCAAAAAAGACAACTTAAGATAAAACTTCATAATGCATGGACTATTCAATATTCTGGGTCACAGAAAGAGACTTGATGGTCTTGGAGGCGGATTCGGTATCACTAGTGATAACAATGATAGAATTTCTCTTAGCTCAATTCTGGAGGGATGGTGTGGGCATATCGTCAAGCATAGTATAGAGTGAAGTTAGAAGATGCTCCTCCAACATCACACTTTTTAGATAATCAATGCTTGAGTCACGAACCACCCTCTCAAGCAATCCATTAACCTCACGCTTCAGCTTAGTAAAGTCACGCTTAAGATCTTGGTACAAAATATTATAACTAACGGGCGAACCATGGAGTGGTTGTTCAACAGCTTTCTTGGTCGGAGTCCTATCCATCGTTATGCTTAGATGTAGTAGTAATTTCAGTTTTTTTGTTTTATGTAGGGTTAGCATATTTTTCGAAAAATATATAGGTAGAGTGATAATAACTATTTCACTTCCCAATAGGACTTAAAGTCTCTTTGTAGAGACCCTATGCAACTATTACACTTTCCAGTAGTCATATCCGCTCCTCCATGCGGACATTACACATCCCAGCAGCCACCTCCACTCCTCCATGCATCCATTACACTTCCCAGTAGCCCCTTCCACTCCTCCATGCAACCACTACATTTTTCAGTAGTCAATTTCACTCCTCTATGCACAATTACATTCCTCCATGCTACCATTACTCTCCTCTATGAATACAATTAATTATAGAAGCTCGTCTTTATCTATCCGCCTATACAGATTTTGGATTTTTTTTTTAAAAACTTTTGCCATATAGTGGCAGTGCACTTCATAGGTTTTATCTCATAGTCTTAACCTTACAAGACTTGAGTGATTATGATCCTTGTTTAGGTTTAGGTTTAGGTTTAGGTTCTCTTTTGGTTTAGGTTCGTTTAGGTTTAGGTTTAGGTTTATGTTTTAGTGGTTAAATTCTAACTAATAACAGATTGGTCTCCAAAATTTTGTATTGGTAAATACAATTTTTGATTTTTCGTGTTGATTTTTCCACTTCTCTATGAGCAAATTAATGTCGATTTTTAAACTTTTTTTTTAAAAAAAAAATCTTCCTAGTCTTGTTCTTGGTTGTAAAATGATAGAAAAGAAAAGGGGGACTTCTGCACTAAACATATATTAAATAATTTCTAATTTTAATTGGCTATTTTTTAAACCGGTAGTCTTCTTAAAATAAATAAATATAACAATAATAAATAGAAATAACACAAACAATATTATAAGGAATATTCATATTAATCCATAAACATGTTTACTTTGATACATTTGAAGTCAGTACATATAACTAAAGAGAAGCACATATCAAGCTAAGCATTAGGTTATCCTAGCACTTCAACAGAGAAGATCACAGCCCCTGATTTAGCCTCAACTAATTCAAAGAGAAGAACACTCCCTTTCTTCAGATTATTGTCGACAACAAATTGTTTTCACCTATTAATGAGTCTTCTCCGAACACCACTTGTGAGAGTCACATCCCACTCCTTCCCATTACATTGAAGCATTGTTTTAACCGAAATAGGAGGAAGATAGACACAGATACTCTTTGGAAGAAGCGCACTGATCTACTATGAAGCGCAACAATCTAATTACCATAGGTTATATGACTACAACCTTATTAGTCAATGGACTTATATGGTTGCTATAGGTCGATACGTATGACCTTAATATAAACGGCTATTATATAAACAGTCAATATTACTATGAATCACAACGATATAATTAGCATATGTTCAATCTTATTAGTCAATGGACTTATATGGTTGTTATAGGTCGATACACATGACCTTAATATAAACGGCTATTATATAAACGGTCAATATTACAATGAATCACAACGATATAATTAGCATAGGTTCAATCTTATTAGTCAATGGATTTATATGGTTGCTATAGGCAGATACGTATGACCTTAATATAAACGGTTATTATATATACTGTCAATATTACTATGAATCACAACAATATAATTAGCATAGACCATATTACTATAACCATATTAGTCAATGGTTAATTTAAATATTTTATAATTAAATTGCTAATTAGTTCCCAATTCTAACAATTGATGTCCAAATTAACATTACAAGGGGACTAAATATGCAAAATACACATTTTAATTAGGTTCCAAATATGTATTTTACTAAAGTTTATGGTCAAATATGCCTTTTCGAACGGTTGGCAGTGTATATATACACATTGATCCAAATAACCCTAAAGACATAAACACACACACACTCTATTACACAAACCCTAGAAAACCAACTATGGAACCCTCTCCCAGTTCTGCCAAATGATCCATATCTTACTCATCTTCCGATGATAACAAGGAAGAGTATAATTCAATATTTGAAGTGATTATGAAAGATTCATACATCAATCGCGACTATCTGGTAAATTAATTTTTTTTTA